CGTCCATATTTTTGCCCTCAGCGACTGTGCTTCCTCTTTTGATTGTTGGGCCGTCTCAGATTTGACTCTTCTGGGCAGTGTAAAGTCAATCTTCGAGTTGCAGAGAGTGATATGCCCGTCCGTGTGGTATACTAGAAACGAGGGTGGCCATGAGTGAGGGCAAGTGCTTAATCAAGTTTATGGGTTGGGGGTGTCTTCAATGGCCCCAGACTGCAAGCCATCTTTCTGCGCTGGTAGTTCTGGTGGTCGAATTCGACATGTGTACAATCTTAGAAGTACCAAAGACGAAGGCTGATGGTAAATGGCATGATAAAACATTACATTGATCATCTAGTTCTGTTATGCCTTTGCGGCTGTGTCTAGCTTTTGCTCCTAGATTTACTGAATCTCCGTAGGAGTAACAATAACCCAGTTCTTGTCCGCGGTGACGGGAAGGTTGTTCGCCTTCTGAGCAGCAGTGTTGTTTACAATCATCTCGTTCATGGTCGCCATAGCGCTGTCCTTGCGGTTGATCCAGAGGTGAATGCCGCCCTTAGCAACATTGACGCCGTGGAAGATCATGGGGCCGTCGCTAGCGGGGGTGTCGCCACCAGCCAAGATAGGACCCTGCCACTCGTTGATGTAAGTGAGGATAGCCGCCCACTTGCCCTGCATCCAGGTAGCAGGAGTATAGAGGTAGGGAGTGATAACGAGGTCCAGGTTGGCCTCCTCGTTGTAGATGCCGTCCTCGATCTGCTTACGGCTGGTGGTGAGATCGCCGGAGGTTAGGTTCTTCATGAGCATGGTGACGCCGATGACGTTCTCAGGTTTGACGTTGTAGCCGTACTTGGGGTCGGCAGCGACCATACGGACCAGCTCTTCAGCAGCGGCGGTGATAACGTAGACATCAATGCCGTTGGCCATCAACTTGTTGTAGAGCTCAACCTGACCGGTGAAGATCTTGGGAGGGCTGACCTCGGTGGGGGTGATAATGTCGCCCTCGTAGTAAGTGGTAGGAATGGTACGGTTGAGAGCCATGAGATCGTCTACGTGCTCCTTGAGCTCCCTCAAAGGAATACCGCTCCAGATCTGAGCTGCCCATGGGTAGCAAATAATGTCGTCAATGTCGCACAGGCGGAGGTAGTAGCTGTACAACGTCTCGGTGTGGTTTGCCGTGTCCTTGAATGGAATGAGCTTCAGGGTGGGGTCCATGGTGTCACGGGTAAGGACACCGATGCTCTCGAGATACGGCAGCAGCGACTCCTCGAGATCGAAGCGGTAGCTGGTGTTGTCCATGTCGAAGACGGCGTATTGGCTCTGGTTGGCGTTGGCCGCGATCATGGTGTTGAGAGCCTTGGCCGCCTCGGCCGGCCAGTGCTTCAACTCGGGGCCGGCAGTGTGGTTGGAGGCGTAGACCGACGGGGCGGCATTCGCGACGCCACGGGCGATGGCCAGCCCGAGCGAGGTAACGATGAGGTTCATAGAGGTCTTCATGTTGACGGTACTGGAGATGGAGCTAGTAACTGAATAGAGCTGCAGCTAGCCAGAAAAGACCAATGTGAAGGTATGATTGCCGGCAGTGAAGAACGGGCCGAGAGCTGGGGGAACGGAGGAGGCCATTCATTTCCCACGGCGGCCGGGCCGCTGCCGCGTTATAAACAAGTCGGCGGCGATTGTAGAGGGGCCTCACTCTGCCAACTTCTCGCTTTACCTCATTTTAGCTAATCATGGTTCTTCCTACTCGCTTACCGGTGCTGAGAACCTCAGTCTGGTAGATACTGGGCTTTGCCAAGGTGAGAGAGGTTTACGCGGGTGTTGGCGGCGGCGTCCGCGACGTCGTGCAACATCCACTTTGTGGGGTCAACTAATCTCTTCTAGCTGGTTGGGGTAACATTCGTGACGATGAGCGGGATTATTGAAATGAGCTAAATGATAAACTTTTCGTCAGCCTGTGGGGGTTTTCCGGACAAGCCTGATAACAGCGCGGTGCGTGCGAAGACATCGCGACGTTTGGTATCTTTTCCGAGCGTTGCGTCAAGCTGAATGAGCTGCTCAGCCCTACAGCATGGCGTGGAGGACGTGGAGATCTCCAGACTCCCGCTGAGCCGCCAAGCCGAACTGTTGCTCACGTCACAGGGGTTCAGTACGAATGGACCATATCAGATGAACCACGTTGTCGGGTAACATTGCCGTTGCCGGCTGTTCGGACTTGTTTGGGTGGATAACGAGAATATGCAGGACAATGATATGTCCCATGTGCTGTTATCTAGCCGCGCAACTGGCCTGAAATGTTCCAATGCCTGGTTTCCAGGTTTGCTGACAGCACCCGGAGTTGCCGTCGCGCCTCGGTGTTGCTATCTCTCTAGCTCTTGGAATTCTGCACCTACTTGAGTCAAACCGTTGCCGCGTCCCTAGACTCTCAATTCACCGCGGAGGCTATCCGTATATGCAGTCCATAGGAAGTTGTACCGACAGCTTGGTTTTCGTGTTTTCAGTCATGTCAATCAATCGATCATGCCAATGAAAGTGCCGGTGTTTGCGGCTTGGAGGCAGGGGCTGTTCGCGGGGACAACACCGCAGTCCGACAATCAGCGAACCCTGCTCGTGAGCACCAATTGCATCCCAGACGAATTGCGAGAGAGACAGTAACCCAAATGAAACTGCAGACAGCTTGGCCTTCAAGTTCTGAGACTCCAGATGGTGAAAATAATTACAATTCTCTGAAGTCGTACGGATGGATGGTCGTGCAGCATAGCGAGGAAGTTACACGCCGACCGGCGGGCGGCTGTGTCTAGTCGCACAGTTTCACCTAAGATCAGGATCATTGACCTGCATCGACAAACTTGCAACATCAAGGAGTGTGACGGGTTATATAAGCTCGAGAACGTGATGAAAATTGTCTTCGCAATAAAGTTAGACTCCAAAAGGCCAAGTCGGAAGAATCACAGCTGTCAAGATCTCGACTCCGGGCATCGGGCAATCGTACGGACGACAAATCCTCCGCGTAGAGACTGCACCACCACCCGATTACCGCTCCAACCAGACTTTGGTTCCCCGACGCTTCGACCGAACGCCTCAATCTTGGATCTTGCCGCAAGTCCGCTACGAAGAATACAACGTCTTGTCCCGAGCGACAGGCCGAAGATACCGTGCTTCCTTCATCCGGCGTCAACACAGAGTTCCGGCTTACTTTCACGCTGATCTAACTCGCACTCACGCCCTTATAAGACTCTAGCCCCGAGTGTTCCAGGGTCACCTAGTTCGTAAGTGAATGTTTCAAAGCTTTTGTCTCTATTACAGTAGAATATTTTGAATCATCTTTGTCAACATGGCGCATCTCAGTGGACACACCTCCATCCCAGTGGATGACGTCTCATCCCCGAAGGACGTGACCTATGCCGAGTCTGACAGCACCACCGAGCTCAATGCTGATAGCGACACTAGCATCTCAGAATCAGGAGGCAGGTCTGTCACCACCTTGAGGCGGAAGATGGCACAATCAAAGCCCATTAGAGAACAAGTCGGGGGCTTGTTCGAGGAGAACGTCACTGCCAAAATCTTCCGAACAGCGACAGATGCGCTTGTGAACAATGTAAGTTGCAATGCTCTCAACCCAAGATGTTAGTTTCTCACAACGTACAGGATCCTCCTTTGGCATATCCAGAGTACGTCCTCCAGACGGGCCCGGAAGCCGGCAAGTACATCTTGCGAGAGGCCGATTTCTGGACGTGTGGTTTCTTCCCAGGCAACATCTACTCCCTCATTGAGAGACTAGTCAAGTTCCCTCACACCATGCCCGGTGGGCAAGACAAGGCGGCTTTGCTGTCAAAGCTATGGTCGCTCGGTGCCTCATGGTCAGAACCCCTCCACACCACAGCCAAGCGCACGGATACCCACGACATGTCATTCATGATCCAGCCGTCAATGAGAGTAAGGTGGGAGGTTGCCCAAGACAAGCAGGCTTTGGACTCCATCGTGACCGCGGCCAAGGCTCTCTACACACGGTACAACTCAACTGTCGGAGCCATTCGGTCATGGGACGCGCTGACCCAGCATGGTGTCACTATTACGAGTTTGACAGACGACTTCCTCGTTATCATCGACTCGATGTGTAACCTAGACCTGCTCTACTACGCTGCATCTCACACCGACGAGCAAGAGCTATGGGATGCCGCAACAAGACACGCCAAGACGTTGATCAAGTCGAACCTCCGCGTCGAAAAGGATTCCAGAGGTATCATCAAAGAGAAGATGTACAGCAATGTTCACGTCGTCAACTTTAATCCCAAGGACGGTGAGATCAAGGAGCGAAGAACGGGCCAGGGATACGCCGCCGAGTCGACGTGGGCGAGAGGCCAAGCTTGGGGTATTCTTGGCTACGCTCAGACGTTCCTTTGGACCGGTGACGAGGAGTTCTTGGAAGTGTCCCGCGGCCTCGCTGAATACTTCTTCATGCGGCTAGAGACGTCACCAAAGTCTGTCGAGTTCCCCGTGGAGGGCGAGAACAGAACGAAGGGCCGATACGTCCCGCTCTGGGACTTTGACGCGCCGATCGAGAACGAGGAATTCCCTCTGAGAGACTCATCCGCAGGTATCATTGCCGCCAACGGTATGCTGGTTCTATCCCAGGCCTTGGCGGGACAGGGTCTGGCGAAGGAGAGCGCGAGATACCTGGATATGGCCATTACAATTGTGAAGGATACCCTCGACTTCTCGCTGGCGATGGAGAAGGCTAAGTTCGTCTTCAGCAATGGCGAGATCTCGACCGCAGACGTCGAGGAGGGCAAGACATTTGACGCTATCTTGAAGAACGCTACGGCAAACCACAACACACGGGACCACAAGAGATACTGGGATCATGGCTTGGTTTACGGTGACTACTACTTGATCGAATTCGGCAACAGACTGCTGAAAATGGGATTGGTGTAATTCATAGTGCTTTGTGTATGTACGGGCTAAATGAGGGTATCACGAATAGAATATGAAATCGTTTTTCTCATGGGAACTCTCTCAACACTTGTTCAATCCAGCTGTGTATTATCAACAGGACCCCAGCCATTGACTGGCATGGACGCATTGCCATTGTTCGCCGTTTGTGCTGTGAACATCATGTCATCAAAACTGATGATCCTGTCCATCTCCATGAATCTTTGATCCATCAGCATGTGCGAGATGGCAGAAAGCTCATCAGGCGCATCCGAGTCTCTCGGGGTAAACCCAGTCATCGGCATGGGAGATCCCATGGAACCCATCATCGAGCCCTGCCTCATCTGGCCCTGCGGCTGCTGATTTGGGAAGATGGGCGGCGGCCGAGGTTGCGATAGTCCTATCGTCTGGTTCGGTGCCAATGGACTTGAGACGGGCGGCGCCATCCTGTTGGAGCTTTGTGCAAACAAGGCATTGCCCTGCTGGTGGCTGAAAGCTGGCGTCTGGGCAGCAGGACTGCATCCCTGACCACCAACGCCGCTGGAGTAACCCAAAACATCAACTGTGAACTGGGGGTCTGCTTGACACTTGCGATGGAGGTCGCGGAGCTGCGCGGCGTATTTGCCAGCGAGACACTGGGCGTGTTTTTCTTTGAGGATGGGCCCGACCCAGCGCTTGGCCATCTCCTCCATGCTCTCAACCAGAGTCCAGAATTCCGGGGCAAGCTCAGCGTCGTAGTACCGCCAATGGACTGGGGAGCGTTAGGGCATAATCGTGTTACAGGTTCACATTCACTTACCGAGGAGTACTCTGGCGCTGATGAAGACGCAAAAGGCAAATTGACTGGTAGCGGGACTGTTCTCGGGGGTGTACTTCAAGTACTTCTCAGTAATTGTTGTAGTCTCGACTGCGGCTTCTTGGCACGTCTCGGCGCTACAGAAGCTAGGAAGCTTCACTATGTTAGACCAACGAGGCTCTGGATAAGCTATACGTTGGTGGAGAAGAATCATTGAGGTGTTGTGGGTGATGTGTGCGAGCGTGAGATTAGGGTCCATGTTAATGAGAGCGGGTTGGCGAGAGATGTTGGAGTCTTTCCACTTCTGAGGCAGGAACATTTTCCAGCTAGAGTCTTGTCAGCATGATGAAATCTCGAAGGCGCGGCTTCAAACGTACTGCACTAGACGCAGATCTAACTCCTTGAACCGAGTAAGCCAGCTGCTGACTTCCTGTCTATCCAGGAAGTTGATCTTCTGTTGAAGAAAGTACGTGGTGACTCTACTAAGAGACTCAGTCGCTTCTATGCAGTATGCAAACGCCCCGACTGTGGTCATGTCGACCGTATTGGGACCTTTGCGAGGGTGAGCGGTGATGGGGGTTTGCGGTGGTGCGTCGGCCGTCTGTTCCGGACTAGGATAGTGCGCTGGTAAGAAGGCAATGGAGTTGCCCATCTTGGCGGCTGACCGATCCCAGATACCGAAGAAGGGAGTAATCACTGACTCTTCCTTATGCCAAAGACCACCGTCGGCTGGAAGTCTACGATAGACATCATCAGACGTTAAGCTGGTATTCCATCTACGGAAGTCAGTTCGATTATTCTGCCTCTCAGCTCTACATGCACTTATGCAAGGCCTTACCCTGTTGTGACGGAGCAAAATCTGGAAAGGTGGGTTTAGTAACACAGCAACAGAAGTTCTGAATCAGTCTGGCTCACCTATCGAGGTTGAAGATGTTCCAAAAGACTCGCCGCCGTTCTTCTTCTTCGGTCCAGTTCTGGGGTGGCGGTATTGACGGCAACGGCTTCAGAAGAGGTTCTTTGTCTTGGTGATCGGCTTCGATACTCATTTGAAGGTATTCGACAGTCCTTGTGAGAGATCCAACTATTGACCAAGCCTTTGACGCATCTCCGTTGCCGATCTTGGCCATGTTAGTAATGTTGATTGAGATCACCTCGACGAGGTGTTTTGGGAAGCACTCACATCGTTGAAGGCTAGAATAACCAGCGCTTGCAGATTCTCGACCGAAAGGTGATCCATTGCGTTAAGTATGACGATGTTTCTTGACCGCGATGTCCGTCGTTCAACTTCAAGCGTCGAGAGTCGGATTTCTGAGTTGTCAACGAATCGAAGAGCTGCCACTACCATGGCATGGAGAACGACCACCAAGCGGGGCAGCTGTTCCGGGTCGTGCACCCGCCTACGAAACTGCGTCTCGTGAAGGATTGGAATCCAGGGCTGGATGATGTTGAAATGGATATTGATGATGTCTTCCAAAAGTTCTGGTGGTGGCAGGCTTGTTGTGATGTTCTCCAGGTCTTCCAAGGGGAAGGCCAGATCGATGTTGGGGTTGCCGCAGCTATCGACCCTCCGACGCTTTCTTGGTTGGTTGTGAGGATGTGAGACAATTTCGACTCCGTCGATGGTGTTTCGCCTGGAAGAGCTGGACGTTGTTGGAGAGAACACGGCATGCTCAGCTGCCCCTTCAGGTGTGCCGGCTTGAGAGCCAGTTTTGGTCTTCGAATTGAGCTTGTGTAGCTCACGCGCCAGCAAAGAGAGTATTCCGACCACGTTCTGGGACTCGGCCGGCGCGCTGTGCGACTCTGTGTTGCCGTTGCCATTTGAGGTCGGGTAAGAACCGTCACTGGACTTTTGTAATAGAGCATTTTCCAAAACCTCTTCATAACAGTCAATGTTTGACTCGACTGGCAGGGTTTCCGATTCGGGTGAGACTTACCCACTCGGCGATTCAGGCTCTCAACCGCTCCGGGTTTGACACCCGGCTTATTCTTCTTCAAATCGTACACACATGGCGAGTCTGTTCGGTCAGTATGCCTTTCTAGATCCATATTCGACTTGAATGCGGCATCCAGGAAACTTACCCAACCGTTTGCAGTGAGAACATATCGGCTGGTCGCGGGAACACCGGAGCTTGCGGCGCCGACAGCCCTGACAAGATGGGATGTCGCCATCAGAGCCATCAGGGGGCTGCGAACCCGAAGCCGGCGCCGGTGCGGTCAGATCCATATCGGCCTGAGCGATCGGCGCCCAACAGCAGGCTCACGGCAGCGGTGGTGGCGGCGCCCCGGAGAGAGCCCGGTCCGATCGGCGGGAAACCGAGAGTCAAAGACCCGATGAACGCCGCAGACAAGGGCGTTTGTGCGAGCGGCGCGGGCGTTTCTGCGTGTGGCTCCTCTCAACGTCGGTTACGTGGCAATCGTCGGCCATGGAATCGTGCGACGCGACGATGCAAGAGGGGATCAAAAGAGGATTCCTGTGTTTATGAGGTGGGAAAGTTGGGGGTGGCTGTGGAGAGGGGAACCGTCCGGGGTGCTCTCGGTTCGATTTGACCGAGGGTTTTGGGGCAACGGCATCGATTCTTTACACTAAGCTTTTCTGGCCCTTGAACTCAGTCCTCCGCAGACCATAACAACTCACCTTCCCATAAGCGGACGAGCAGAGACGAGGCGGGAAGTTTCCCCCGCACTCTGGGGATATTGGGACAGGGATGAGCAAGTGAGGAACACGAAGTGGGCGGTTTGGTGGAACGAGGTTGGTGCGGAGAAACTGGAGAGCGTTTCGTTAGCGCTTGCGGGCTCCTTTGAGCCGATGCCCGGCACCACACAAAGGCTAGTCGGCGGCCACTGGTCTAAACATAAGCAGTTAACTTAGCATACCTTATGAAGAACAACGGGCAAGGATGATTTCGGCTTGACTTCAGTCTCGTCACAGCTGGGTAAAGCGAGGTTTGGTCGATGAAGAAAAGCGAGAGTTGAGAGGATTTGTTTCAGCGTTGGGAGGTTCTCGAAAATCTCCAGGGCTTAGTTGTGTTCGCATTTCTTTGGCTCACGGAACAAGAGCTGAAATTTTACGGGCTGACGTGTTTGCTAACGTGGTCCTGAAGATAGCGTACGTCATCAGTTAGGTACTCAATCTTTCATATCAACCATTGCTCAAATATCACCTACAGGATGCTGCTCATCTTGGTCCGCGAATCACACTAATTCCGTACCGGCGATGAAGTGATTATGATGATTACTTCTCGCCAGTTGTTGAGCTCGATTCGTTGCGCTTGTATCTGCCCAACTCTATGCTTCTCATCCATACATAAAGCTCAATGTGAACAACTTGTCAAACAAAAGACCAGTGAACTCATCGTTCAGATGATGTTGTTCTTGTGAGCAACCTTAAATGCATGGACCCAGCTCCTCTTCTCATGTACCAGAACCCATGTTGAATAGTCTCGCCCCAATAGTTTGAACATAAGTACATGGTGGATAGCATACACGATTTTAGGGCCAATGATTGAAGAAACCCAGCAAAATATGCCCCTCGAGCGCTAGAGTTTCGGGTACCTGCAGCATGTTACATGCACAAACCTCCGAAGAGCTGCAAGAAATGTTCAGGTGCCGATGGCTCCCGTCATAAGAGGGAGTCATCAATCTGACTAATGTGATTGCGGCCATTAAGTCCTCAGAGGGACGAACTATCGAGCGAGAATCTCAAATCATCATTATACTAAAGGCAGAGTGTTATGTATCTGCCTATACTTATCGCTTCGGAGCTTGACTGCGTTCCAAAGAAGAGTGAAGAGGATAGAAGCCCTCAAAGCACTCACTATTTTCAAGCGACCGCATCAATAGCAAACTTTTCCAAACACATTAGGAGGGAGGAAGAATGCACTCGACGTTTCTTGTCGATCTTGAACAGAGGCTCACTATTACCAATCGCGGGTTTGACATTGGTTCTCTCAAGATGAAGGAAACCACATCATGCAAAATATTGCAGTAGCTCGCAGGAAAGGCAAGACAAAGGCCATCAGAGACTATACTGACTGGCTCATTCGTAATTTAATTTTCGTCTGATGACACTATTCAAAGGATTGCCGTGTCGTGGTCACGACATCTTGACTCAGCCTCCTCTGGCTAACGCATCAAACGCACGTCGGCAGGCTGTCCGACAGATACCCCGGAATCCGACGCATCTGGGGAAGCCACAGTGGAACCAATAGCCTTCGAATTCATCGCAAGACGAAATAAGACCAGCCGATGGGTGTCGAGACATAACCCGAGCACTTCCATTCCGCACAAGCCATCTTGTGTGTTCGCGAACATCTCTCACAATGCCACCCCTGTCAGGATTCTCCAACAACCCTCTCCGAACCAGGGCGGACTTGGTCCAAGCTACCCTCGCGCTGCTCCGGCCCCTCTTACCCCACTTCTCTCCGTCCAAGGGCCGGATCCGAATTCCGGTGACTTCGGCAACGCACTTTGATGAGACAGCTGCCCAACTAGAAGGATTTGCTCGGCCGCTATGGGCTGTAGGCGCATTGCTCCTTGGAGCTGATGCCACTTCAGATTCATCACTGTCCGCTGCAATCACCGAAGTAGTCCAGCCATGGATCGACGGCTTCGTCACAGGAACCGATCCCGAGCACCCTGAGTACTGGGGACCAATTCTCGGCCCCGATCAGCGCATGGTTGAGGCCGAAATTGTAGCATTTGCCCTCCTTTCCGCGCCTGATCGCATTTTTAAGCCGTTGAGTGAAAAGTCGAAACAAAACATCACCAACTGGCTTCGGTCTTTGAATGGAATGGAAATGCCAAAGAACAACTGGCGTTGGTTCAGAGTCTTTGCCAACTTGGCTCTGTTCAAAGTATGTGGGGTGGCTTATGACAGTGTTCGCGACGAGATAAACTCAGACTTGGCGCTCCTGGACACTTTCTACCGATTTGATGGTTGGTCGGCAGACGGTCCTTGGCAAACACCAGAGCAGGCCCAGGATGAGTTCGAGCAGTTTGAGAAGACTGGCAGACGCGATGCGATTGGAATCGGAAGACAGGCCGACTACTACTCTGGTAGCTTTGCGATTCAATTCAGTCAGCTGCTCTACTCTCGATTTGCTGCGGATATCGATCCCGAACGAGCAGAGAAGTACCGCCAGAGAGCAAGAGACTTTGGTGCCACTTTCTGGCGTTACTTTGACGCTGAAGGTGAGATGTTCCTGGTGATTTCACTTCACCCATGCAATGTGCTAAGACCTTTTAGGTTCTGCTATACCTTTCGGCCGGTCTTTAACTTATCGCTTCGCCTGCGGAGGATATTTCGCTGCTCTAGCTCTGGCACAAGTACCCAACATGCCAAAGCCTCTTCACACCCCCGGGGCCATCAAAGGCTTCCTACTAAGACATCTCAGATGGTGGGCAAACAACTCCAATGATGTCTTCTATTCCGATGGTACCATGAACATTGGATGGTTATATCCGTAAGTGCTCCTACATCCCAGCCCGTCCGCGGCCACCTCAAGGAATGTTTGCTCATTCTCAGCTTAGAAATATGTACCTGTGCGAAGACTACAACTCACCCCAATCTCCGTACTGGTGTTTGAAGACCCTCATTGCGGTTGGTCTTGCGGAAGACGATGACTTCTGGACTGCAGATGAAGAGCCATACCCCTCTCTTTCCTCAACAGACTCAGTTGCGCTCGTCCCAGCCCCTCAGCAGATTGTGTGCAACCATCCTGGAAGCAACCATCACTTTCTCCTTTCGCCAGGACAGTTCGTAGCGTGGCCTATGAAGGCTAACCAGGCTAAGTACTGCAAGTTTGCGTACTCCTCCGCTTTCACGTTCTCCGTACCGACGGGGCCGTTGATCCAGCAGATTGCTCCAGACAACGCCCTTGCTTTGAGTCGCGATGGTGGGGAGACATGGGCAGTGAAGTGGAAGTCTGAACCAGTGCGCTTCTCAACTGCGTTTATCAAGACAGCTTCGAGCACGCAGGAAGTACAAGCTGCGAGCGCCAAGTGGTATCCATGGGGCGACAGAGCCGTGAGTATAGACACCACGCTGATCCCACCGTCTGACCGATGGCCGGACTGGCATATTCGAGTCCACAAGATCAAAGTGCACGAGAAGCTCAAGACTTTACACACAATCGAGGGTGGCTTCGCGATCTCTGGCCGCAAAAAGGGCGGCCAGACTGACGGATTGCCTCTACCTGTCATCTCCGAGATTCCGAAAGACGCCATCTTGGGTTCTGCCGAAGGCGTTTTACAGAAAGAGCTTTCCACTTTAATCTTGTCCTCCGCAGGCGCCAGCGGCGTGGTTTCACAGTCACCGAGCAGTCACCAGACGATATCAGAAAGTTTTCCACTGAAGCCTGATTCGAACACAAACTTGGCCTGCTCTAGGACCTTAATACCGGTCACTTCTCATGCTACTGCCGGTGGCCTAGATGTCGGATATGAAATGGTCCTAGTCGAGTCTGTCTTTGCGCTGTCTGCCTCGGCAAACAAGGGTTGGCCTGGTGCTGGCAAGCCATTGGCAGAACGATGGTTGGATGCTCCGCGGGTGCAGCTGGAATCTAGGACTTCAGACGCAACAGATGGCGATGTTATGTTAGTTGTTGCCTCTACTCAAGCTTAGATGTCAAGTTTATAATTGGACACATGCATAAAACACTCTGCAGTCTGCCTTACTGAACCCTCATTATACAAAGTCCCCATGAGTGATACCTAATGGTATCCGTACCGCAGGTCAATTGGTTCGAACCGTGTGTTGACGAAGAGGTCAATTGGACTATATGATCTTCTGCGTAGGTGTAAAAAGAAGGTTTCAACCGTAGGTTGGGCAGGCCGCGGTAATCTTAAGTAAGGTAGGGGCCGTAATTGGCCCCTGCGCGGGCACCCTTACGTCGAGGTCGAATTGGACTTCCAATCCAACAATACCTCATGCGTGCGGAAGAAGAGAGTACATCACTGAACCACCGCCTTAGATTTACGTTAATTTTGGAGTGATCTGCGTTGATCAAAATTTGACGATTCCATGTCATGTTGGCGTTGGCGATAATGCTTCAATTCCGCAACAGCACACAATTACATCAAGTATAACATATAGATTTCTCTCGATACTTTTGAGATTGCAGTATTGTGACTAAGATACCAGAGGAGTCCCATAAATGTACTAGCATTTTTTTATTCGTATTACAGATTTACAACATAGGTACTCCACTAGAGTTTAATTGTTTGCGTGAAAATACATGTCAAACACGCCTCAGCCGTGCTTGATCAGGAAACCCTCACGCCAATGATAGCTTATGATACATTACGGAACCTTGATGAGGCTGTTGATATCAACAAGTCTTTATGGGTTGATCTAACCGAATGTCCAGTCTAAGGCCACAGTCATGAGCACCGGAGACAGGTTTCGGCATACTTGAAGATTCAGCATATCGGAGAAAGCATATGCCATCGGGATATACAGAAGTCAATACCGCCTACAGGTCAACAATATCTTCCCCAGAATCCAGCGAAATTCACCAGCTTGTATAATACCACGTCATAACACAGTCGTCCATCATGTCTTCATTTCCAGGAACCGGAAGCGCCGCTCGTCCGTTGATCGTGCCGCGCCGGCCCAGATCTTTCACACAAGTCAGCCATCGGATTTCTTTGAACGAAAGCGTAGTTCAAGAAAGTCCCATCGAAGAACAACTTCCATCCGACTCGTCCTCAGGATCGGAACCTGAAACCGACATTGCCTCGCAAGAAACACCATCAACCCTGGAGACTAAACAACGCGAGGGTCTCCAAAAACTACACACCGAGTACGAAAAACGGATGAATGAAATCAAAGCCATGCACTTTCAGCGTCGAAACGAAAGTCGACAAGCGTATAACAACAAAAGGACGAATGCCATTGATGATTACAACAAGGCTGGGTGCTGGGGGATCTTCCGATTTTCTCCCCGGCGCAAACTTGACGCGATTGACCGGGACCAAGAAAATGCCGACAATTACTTTGCCAAGTCTCAAAGAATCGAGCGTAGAGCGGTCGAGAGAAGATTTGAAGATCGTGAGGAGCTTTGCATACACTGTTATAGGAGAATGTGGAAGAAGATGTATCCTTCGATACCATTCTGGTACGATAGACCAAACCCAGATGCACTAGACATACCAGTCATGACGTATTATCAGCCAATCGATTAGACAGCGTCACACGACTTACACCGACAACAAGACCGCAAGGGATGAGGGGCGTAAATGTAAGATGATCAGCGTTAACTGAACGACTAGCTGCTGTCTTTGCACATGCGGCTTCGGATTGAGAGCCTACGACCAGTTCAGCTCCTGGCCTCAATGAGATGATAGATATGTAAAGAATCAACAATCATCAATCAGTTTTCAACTATACAAATTAACGTCAACCAACGCCTCACTTACTCCCACTGTCGGATTGGAAGTCCAATTCGACCTCGACGTACGGCCGACCGCGCAGGGGCCAATTACGGCCCCTACTTCCGATTATCGCGGCCTGCCCAACCTACGGTTAGAACCTCCCTTTTACACCTACGCAGCAGATTATATAGTTCAATTGACCTACTTCGTCAACCCACGGTTCGAACCAATAAACCAATATCCCTGTGATAGGGATACCAACACCCACCATGCTGCAAAGTGTATTCCCAAGAATGATTCAGCGATTTGATTCATACAGTTTATAAGAATGTAATTCAGTCAGCCAAAGTATTATCCTCTTCTTCTTGGGGTTCAAAATCAATAATGTAATTTACATATACAGGCGCAGTATTTCACAAAATGAATCAACACACAGAGTTGTAATCTTTCAAGACCCACTCCGGGTAAAGCAATCGGAGTCCTGTTACTCACAAAACAAGTAAGAACATACAAGCGTCGAAATCCGGTTTCGTTAGGCTAGTGCTTTTCTCGATGTGACTTGCGGGTGAATGGAAGCATAAGCTCCATAGTATCACAGACTAGCTAAACTGGCGTAGTCACAGGAACGACATGTCGTCATAGGGTCAGCACACGCGAAGGTTATTAGATTCACCAACACCCCAAGCTTAAACCCCAAAATTTCCCCGCAACTTCGTGGATCTCTCCCAGTTTTGCGTCTGCAGTTTCCAGAAATCACGCCCCAATCATGAGTGGTAAGTTGAGTTGCACCTATGAAGAAGCTCTGAACCCAACATGAAAGCACAAGGGGCAGAATATCCATGAGAGCAAACATGTGATTGAAGAGGCAGTCAAATATTTTGATTCGAATCAACGTTTTTCAATGGCATCACAGGCACTTTGGTAACAGAAGTACAGACTTACCCCTCGACCTCCCCAGACCTGAGGACGACGGGTCGTGCGACCACCTTACGGGTTTCAATCTGCCAAGCGTTCCACTTCCCTCGGCGAAAAACGACTCTAAGGAGGTCGACCTGTCACAAGTGGATAGTTTGATCATTGTCTTTATTTATCCACGAACTGCAGAACCAGGGGAAGAAGTTCCTCCCGAGTGGAACAGTATCCCAGGTGCCAGAGGCTGCACGCCACAGGCCTGCTCGTACCGAGACAACTTTGAGGCGCTGAAAGGCCTTGGGGTAGTTCAGGTCTTTGGCGTGTCTGCTCAGAGTTCAGAAGCCCAGAAAGAGCTTCGCGAGAGGGTCCATTTGCCTTATGATCTCTTGAGCGACGCCGATTTGAAGTTTGCGACCGCTGCAAGACTCCCTACCTTTGATTGGAAACAGCGAAAGCTGATCAAGCGGGTCACCCTGGCTGTTGAGGGTGGTAAGATTATCAGACACTGGTATCCCGTGTTTCCCCCGGATCAAAACGTCATAGAAGTCCTGAAGTGGTTGAAAGAATACGAAGGCAAGCGGTCATCTTCGGGCTGAGGTGTTTCGTAGCCTTTCTAGCTGATTCTTGTCCTATCTATGAAAATGATAATAAGAACAACAGAGAACGATGAGTCAATCCACTGCTGTAGCATCTGCGTCGAATCGAATGAGACCAATAGACTGTCATCTTCTCGCCAAGCTGACAGCCTACATACGGTCTTCACGAGAACAAAGATGAACACCCAGGGGAGGCTTCTTCCAGATACCAAAAGACTTCTGATCAATCCAATTCGAGTTCTTATCCGCAAGCTCAATGTCGAACTTCCACAGCACTATGGCTAAAATGAGACGCATCTCGTGATAGGTAAGACTAAGAAAGAGTCAACGCTAGACCCCCAAATTCGCCAAAGGATCACGACAGGGTTAATCAAAAACTTGGAAGATACGTACTTCTTGCCAATGCAGTTTCTCAGCCCATATGAAAAGGGTTGAACAACCTCCTTGTTGTCCTTTGCGTACTTCTCGGGCGGTTGAACCAACCAACGTTCGGGCACAAAATCATGCGGATTAGCAAAATTGTAGGCCGGAGTGTAATCTGCGTACTGAGCGACGCTTGTAGCCGTCTATACTCTATAATTATATTAGTGATAATGATCAGCGAGGATCAGAGAGTATGTGGCTTCTTACTCCTTCTGGGACGAATTGCCCGCAGACAGTTGGCCTTTGTTGAGGAGCCACACAAGGCACTACACCCGGAGCCGGGGGATACATGCGAAGCCCCTCTTCTACACACGTGTTGAGATAAGGAAGCCGTTGTAGGTTGATGATGTTCAAGTCCTGAAGATGGAGCGACCGGATCTCTTTATAAAAATCCTCAATTTGTCGGCGTTCCGACATAGAAGAAACGTGAGCCTACTCAACAACGTAACTGTCGTCTCGGTCCCAGCAATCATGGTTATTTGTGCGTTGGCGTACATCTCCCCTCGGAAGATATTGTTGAGGTCAGTATTTCATTGAGAAAGACTCCAGATATCCCCTCTGTCCTTGTTATATTGCAGGCAGCGATCTACTCTGTCGTTGGAATATTTTGTGTGTTCTCCATTTCCGCTTTCAGTGAACTCGACAGTAGCGGAGCAAAGACTCGCCCGAAAACTGGATAGGCTCGCAGAAAGGTTCCCATGACCATGAAATTGACACTGAAGAAGATGTTGCTTACCCACGGTAGAATGTATCTAGTATTTATTGCAAATCACCCACGCAGTGTCTTTTATGTGCTTTGGTGCTTGGGGGGGCCGACAGTCTTGTTGTGTTCATCAGTCTCAATTTAGGGTAAACAAAGTTGATGTAGGGCTGCTGTGAACGGCAAGTCGTACCTGGATACGCCAGTTGACTGGGTTGTGTCAGACAACGATATTTCTTGAATAAGCGTCACTAGGTGAAAGGATTGGCGAGGGTGTGACCTCTGGGCTTCAGCTGATGCTGCATGTCAGCATGGGCTGCATATCCGTGAGCCACCATCAGCGCGCCATCTCGCGACTAACTACCGACCAAGCGCTACTTGCCCTGTCTAGCTTCAAAACCGCCCCCAACTTCATTACCTCCCTATCAGTGGTTCGACTCAAGACCCGAATGACAACCATCTACAAATACGGCGTGAATCCCTGTCCTCGATTCAGCAAAATCTTCCATCTTCGCCAAATGCATAACGAAGACCTGTGCTGAAAGCAGATTTACCAATGACAGCCAGCGCCGCCCAAAAGGAGGTGTCGGAGGCGGTGAAGAACGACAATCGCGATGTTTCCGACCTGTGGAAAGAGGCCCTCAAAGCCTACAAAGGAATTGTAGGGTTCGACCTGGAGCGTAAGTTCGATAGCGTTCAGGCAATGATTGATCAAGGCACCCACGAGATGGAAAACTTTCACAAGTTTCGCCATAACGACAAGAAAGTAGACAAACTGCGAAGCCTGTTTGCTGCCAACCTCGATTATATCGAAAAGGGCGCACAGCAGCTCGTCTCAGCAGCCGTTCCAGCTTTCCCTCCAGCTGCAGCTATTGGCACTGCGGTCACCATAATGCTAAGCGTGAGTGGTGCTCTTCGTCACTCGATGTCGTGACCAAGCTCATTCGAATCCAGGCATGCCGCCAAGTCTCGGCAGACTATGACATCGTGATGGTGTTCTTTGAAGACATGAACAGCTTTTTGCAGCGTATCACGATTCTTGAGACCCGACTCCCGAAACATAAGGGTTATCAAAACTGTCTCATGGATGTTTTCACGTCTTTCCTAGTCATGTGTGGCTTTGCTCACAAGTTCATTGAGCTAGGCCGTTTCAGTGAGTCAAAGAACAAAATGCAAACAACATTGATCACTCATTCGAGTTTTCTAATCTTTTACTAGAGAAGTGGATCAGCAACCTTCTTCACGGCGAGGATACCGAGTTAGGCGGCGCTCGTAAAGGCATGGATCTCAAGATTCGACGTCTCCAGCAAGCGACAGAGTTTGCAATCCTTGGAAATACGGAAGAGATCCAAAAGATGAGCACAGAGTTGTTGACCAACCAAGAAACACATACTGCAATGCTGGAGAAGCAGATGCAGGTCATGAACTCGATTCGTGACACCACCGAGATGATCCAAAGTGACATGGCGAAGTTGCTGAAAGCCTTCAATGACCAAAAACGCGAAGAAAAGAAGGACCGTGGCCATGACCAGCGTGCCAAGGCGGTAGAGCAAAATAAGCCTCCATCCGCAAAGAGGATCCGCAACATTCTAGTTGAGGTAGAGGGGGACGGCCATGAGTACCTCGTCTTGAAGGAAACGCTTGTTAAGGACACCTGCACTTGGGTCTTTTTGCAGCCCGCATGGGACGAGTGGCTGAAGCAGGGCCGAGCCGACCACTTAACTCTGGCCATCACCGGCGAACCTGGCTCTGGGAAAAGTCACATCGGGCTCACAGTCTACGAAAGGCTGCTTGGTGAAGCCATGAACGACACCTCGAAGCTTACTTGTGCCGCGCATTTCTACTTCCGGGAACAATCGTCCAGTCTCTCAAACTTCTGCAACGCCATCACGACTGTCATCATTCAAACTGTCGAGCAGAACGCTTCGCTCTGTGAGCTGGTCAATGCAGAGGTAATTAAGGATGGCTTCGACATGAATTCGTATGTCGCCGAATCGCTCATTCGTCAGATCTTGGTTCCTGCCTTTGGTCAAGCTTCCAAGTTCAAGTTGCTTCTGCTCTTAGACGGGCTTGATGAGCTCGATGATCTCACCGAGTTTCTTAGTTTTCTCAAAGTGATACGCGAGGAGAATCTAAGGATCACTGTGGCTTTCACTTCTAGACCAGGGGTTCTTTCCATTGTCAAAGAATCATCACCCGTGCTCGCAGTCAATGTCACGAGGGAAAACCAGAAGGAAGACCTGAGGGCGTTTATCTGGAGTCACATCAATTCCTTATCTACCATGAGAAAGTTCGATCGCTACGTCCAACAACGTATTGCCGACAAAGTCGAGGAGGTAGCCCCAAGTAAGGTTTTCATTCGACCGAGATGTACCGTGGCATACTAATGACCTAGACTTTTTGTACGCTGCGCATATGCTTGCGCGTTTTGACAACCTAGGACGCGAAGGCGCTGTTATCCGCAACCTGGAAAAGCCATTGCCTTCGGGACTTCATGGGATCTATGAAGGCTTGTTGACTGACTGCTACCGTCGAACTGAGCTCGAGCACAAGCCCATTGTGCCTAAGCTCCTTCATTGGCTAGCCTTCGCTTTCCGACCATTGACCTTCAACGAGGTAGTTTCACTGGTACGATTGTGGGTGAACGATGTCAACTTTGAGATTGAAAAGGTTCCTGAGCCATTCGAGAGCTTTCTCCAGGTTGGTGATCCTGGGTCTGATGCGGAAGAACGTGTCAAGATCCAGGCTCAGGGCGGATGGGGCACGGCGGTAAGCGAGTTGGAAAAGACGCAGACAGCTGTCGACCACGAGGCCATCTACAATGACGGTGAGCTGCCTGTGAAATTCAAGGAGCGCTCGATGCGATCGTTTTTTATTGAAGAACCTGACAAGACCGACATCCACGCCCACCGCATAAGGCCCTCGGAGATTCATCGGCAGATGTTTCTAGACTGCACCAAGCTTGCCTGCACTACAGGCCACTACCCATTCCCTATTTCCAGTGCTCTCAGTCGTTATGCAGTGGTTCACATTGTATCACACTGGTTTCGCATTGACTTTGAAAGTCATACAGCTGAGGAACAAATCGAGGTCATGGAGGCGCTGGCTTCCACTTTGGCGAACAAAAAGTCGTTCTCTCGGATGATGGAATGGACTGGATCCAGCTACTCGAGCACATTCACCGACGAAGTTTTCGAGAAAATCTCAAGATGGAGTCAACTCCTCAGCGTCTACAAAGAGCAACTAAGCAAGGATGCGGTTGAGTGGTGGGAGAACGTCTCAGAAAACCCGCAGAATTGTTTGATGTCTCTCGTGAAGGCTCACTTGCGGCAAATTTACATTTCCCTCAGTGTCGACACTGCCTTGGCTTCTTACCGAAGAGCGAGGGATGCCATCAAGACCGTAAGTTCCACCTTTTCTTTCTCACGATGCCTACTGACCCGAGTAGAGCAACTTGGAACCTACTCTTTTGCAGCAAGCCAAGAAAAACTACGAACCTGAGATCGGAAGCATGGGAGAATCTCTAAACGAGAAGCAAGGTGTCCTAGGTATCGAAGGCCTCTTTGAAGACATAAAGATTGAACCCGTAGGATACCGTGCACTTGCATCTCTCATGTTACACTTCAAATACTTGAAGCCTGCAGAGACCTTGTGTCAAAATGCCCTGGATGGCCTCAGTGGCACTCTCGACATCGTCAGAACTAGAGAGCTCATGTCCCGAATCCGTTTGGAGAATGATGCCCAGGCCAGCCATCGAGATATTCTCGAGTGTTTCGGAAAGATGAACGACGAAACTGTTCCGTTACCTTTGCGCCACACAGTGTGTATCACCAAGGCGAGGATCGAGGCAAAGCTGGAGATGAATGAAGCAGCCGCGATCTCTTACGCTCACGCAAGATCTATCGATCCGACAACCCTTATGACTGGGGAAATTCTAAACGAAGAACTTGATCTATTCTCGGAAGAGGATAGTAAGCAGGGTTTCATCGGTGTTTTGAAGAGTTGGAGCCCGCTACAGCGACTGACCTGGCTCTGCTGGGAATACGACGACTACCACGACGATAGATCACGATTGCTCCGTAAAGCTGCCCTCCAGTCCGGAGAAGTTGATTTTGTCCTCCAGTTATACCTGGACTCCATTCAGTACTTGGAAAACGTCAATGCAGCTGCACCGCTACGAATCGATCTTTCGCTGCTCTATCAGCATGTTACGGGGGACATCGAGGCAGCAAGGCTAGCTTTGGATGAGGTTCTCGACAGTGGTTCAACAGGCTATCCGTACCCCATCACAGACTCGTCCCCCGACTACACTGTTACTCGTGCGGTCGACAACTACAGCGAGCTACTGTATGGAATTTTCAGAAGCTCCCACGACCCGAAGCACAAGACGGAATTGCTTGCTACTGTCCAAGGGCTCCT